TTATAAGCAATAGTATCATAATTACCACCATCATTCTGGGTCTTATGAAGTTGTGACATCTTCATTACCATCAATTCATTTTTGTTTGGTTTATCTGCTTGTGTGCCAGCAACAATATAAGCTGTAGCTGGATACTATGAAATTCAAAATCATAAACATATGGAACATGGGGATAATTGATTTCTAATAACTTGACAAAATCCAACCATTTTTCTCTCTTCACCAAGACTATCATGTAATATATCAAAACTAAGACATGGCCATTTGACATTCAAAGAATGTAACATTTCATAGACTGATTGATCTGCCTCAAGAGCTTCACCTTCCCCCAATTCTTGACCGGGAAGGTATACTTGATCTTCGCTCTCTTCAATTTCCATGGCTTCGGAAGATCATAGAGCGAATTTAATATTGATAATATTAGATAACAGAATATACTTCAGAGCTGCAAATGACTCACAAGCAATAATAATAGCACTAATATGATAATTTGTTATTTAAAAAAGTCGAACCTATATTCTTACCATTTTCACCATCACTGCCGGTTTCCGTATCTTCTATTTCTGACTCTGTCTCGAATTCGTCTTCCCATGGGTCCTCGAATTCTCCGATTGACTCCTCTACTTTCGATGATTCACCATTTTGATTGTGCTTACCAAATGGTGCTTTTGGAGCTACCAAAGTTTCAGAATGTTCTAATTCTTCTGTCGAACGTTTCGACATTATCGTTATATCTCGAGTTTCCGAAAGTAAACCTTAGATTTTAAATGAACATCTTTTTTTGATCTCGAAAAATGATTGGAAGACAATTATTTTTTGATCCCGAAAGATGATTGGATATGATAATTTACAGGATTAAAAATTTTTTAGAAATCATTAAAATCCTCTACGTAGATCACATGAGAGTGAACTTTGCTTTTTACCGTTACATAATATAACTAGCCAATGTATTATTTTCCAGTACCCACGTGCTATAAAAATTTTTAAAAGGAACTGGTATTTTTACACCTGAA